TGTATATCCGGAACGTTCAGTGGATCTGTAAATTTTATAGTTGGTAGATTTAGTTAAAGCTCGTGAGCTCATGAGCTGAAAAGAATATTGTACATATTTTATACATTTATTGCCCGCCAGCAGCCTAGTTAACATTTAAACGGCAAGAATTGTATTTCGCGTATATCACTAACCAATATTGCCAATTAGTGAAATGAATCGAAACGCACGAATTCGTCTATTGATATTGATATTGATATTGACCAAAAATGCATTTAAATTAAGTCATCACAATGCCAGGACGAACAAGAGCCAGCACAACAAGCATATACAAATTAATGAACAGAAATGAATAGAAATTAAGTGATTTATCACATACTTCACACCACGATAGTACATCAATTATGTATTACGTATGTATGTCATATATAGTTTTGCACAATTTTCAAAACAATCGACCTAAAGCCGATAGAAAACGAGATTTCCTGTAAAAAACAATGCTCAGACAAAGCCAAATTTTAAAAAAATATACATTGTAAAAAATGAATAACAATAAAATATGTATGTTAAGCCAAGCCATGCGCGCAAATAAAAAAATAAAGCAGAAACTCTGTAAAAAAAACATTAAAAAAATAAATATGCATTAATTCGCAAATAAAAACCAACACTTTTTGTTTTAGAAATCCTGGCTTTTAAAGGAGTTTACCTGTGTAGTGAACGCATATCCTGGGAAACCTCAAGGAAATACTTTTCCACATTTTCTTAAACCTATCATATCCTGCGATAGGTTGCGCAAAGCTGTTCAATCACAGCAATCTCACGGATTCCGATAGATACACTTGTTACCCACAAGGAAACCAAATCAGGCAAAGAAACAAGGATATCTGGGCTCATTCAGAGTCCATTGGTTTCTGCCCTTTGTGTTTGTTGGTTTTGTGTTTTGTTGTATTTTGTGTGAGAAATGCAAGCGATTTGAATTTGCCGATGCACAGGTAGCCAGGATACATTTCATCCTTTTCTCTTGCAACAGAAAAAGGATCACGGGGGCATATTCAAAGTGATAGTGTGTAATACACACTGTGTATGTGTGTGGGAGAATTCCTGCTAAACACCGCATGACTTTGTTTTCTAAAGGCTCGAATTTGTGGGCTATGGGAAAATATCCTCGAACAATGCAAAGAGTTTTCGAATTTCTTACAAGTTAATTTGTTAAATGACAATTAAATATGCCGGAATCCCAAAAACAATTGTGCAAAGCAGGCGCTAAGATAGAGTCCATAAAAATTGGCAAGGGGCAGTTCAGAAAATTTGAGAAAAATTTTAAAAAATATTTTATTCCCAGGTTTATATTCAGTTTGATGGAGAATCGATCTAGAAATCGTTTAAGGTATTCCGCTCAAGGATCGGATAAATATTGGCTAAGATATAGCTATCGCAAGGGACCATATAGTCCTCCCCAAGCATTTTCCACATTTTGTGGGGGATGGCCCAGAAAATTTTGACAAAAAATCTGAAAAATATTTTGTTTCCAGGTTTTGATGCAGTTTGATGGAGAATCGATCTAGTAATCGTTTAAGGTATTCCGCTCAAGGATCGGATAAATATTGGCTAAGATATAGCTATCGCAAGGCACCACGTAGTCCTCCCCAAGCATTTTCCACATTTTGTGGGGGATGGCCCAGAAAATTTGATAAAAAATCTAAAACATATTTTGTTTCCAGGTTTTGATGCAGTTTGATGGAGAATCGATGTAGTAATCGTTTAAGGTATTCCGCTTAAAGATCGGATAAATATTGGTAAAGATATAGCTATCGCAAGGGGCCATATAGTCCTCCCCAAGCATTTTCCACATTTTGTGGGGGATGACCCAGAAAATTTGACAAAAAATCTGAAAAATATTTTGTTCCCAGGTTATGATGCAGTTTGATGGAGAATCGATCTAGTAATCGTTTAAGGTATTCCGCTCAAGGATCGGATAAATATTGGCTAAGATATAGCTATCGCAAGGGACCACATAGTCCTCCCCAAGCATTTTCCACATTTTGTGGGGGATGGCCCAGAAAATTTGATAAAAAATCTAAAAAATATTTTGTTTCCAGGTTTTGATGCAGTTTGGTGGAGAATCGATCTAGAAATCGTTTAAGGTATTCCGCTCAAGGATCGGATAAATATTGGTTAAGATATAGCTATCGCAAGGGACCACATAGTCCTCCCCAAGCATTTTCCACATTTTGTGGGGATGGCCCAGAAAATTTGACAAAAAATCTGAAAAATATTTTGTTCCCAGGTTTTGATGCAGTTTGGTGGAGAATCGATCTAGAAATCGTTTAAGGTATTCCGCTCAAGGATCGGGTAAATATTGGCTAAGATATAGCTATCGCAAGGGACCATATAGTCCTCCCCAAGCATTTTCCACATTTTGTGGGGGATGGCCCAGAAAATTTTGACAAAAAATCTGAAAAATATTTTGTTTCCAGGTTTTGATGCAGTTTGATGGAGAATCGATCTAGTAATCGTTTAAGGTATTCCGCTCAAGGATCGGATAAATATTGGCTAAGATATAGCTATCGCAAGGGACCATATAGTCCTCCCCAAGCATTTTCCACATTTTGTGGGGGATGGCCCAGAAAATTTTGACAAAAAATCTGAAAAATATTTTGTTCCCAGGTTTTGATGCAGTTTGGTGGAGAATCGATCTAGAAATCGTTTAAGGTATTCCGCTCAAGGATCGGATAAATATTGGCTAAGATATAGCTATCGCAAGGGACCATATAGTCCTCCCCAAGCATTTTCCACATTTTGTGGGGGATGGCCCAGAAAATTTTGACAAAAAATCTGAAAAATATTTTGTTTCCAGGTTTTGATGCAGTTTGATGGAGAATCGATCTAGTAATCGTTTAAGGTATTCCGCTCAAGGATCGGATAAATATTGGCTAAGATATAGCTATCGCAAGGGACCACATAGTCCTCCCCAAGCATTTTCCACATTTTGTGGGGGATGGCCCAGAAAATTTGATAAAAAATCTAAGAAATATTTTGTTTCCAGGTTTTGATGCAGTTTGGTGGAGAATCGATCTAGAAATCGTTTAAGGTATTCCGCTCAAGGATCGGATAAATATTGGTTAAGATATAGCTATCGCAAGGGACCACATAGTCCTCCCCAAGCATTTTCCACATTTTGTGGGGGATGGCCCAGAAAATTTGACAAAAAATCTGAAAAATATTTTGTTCCCAGGTTTTGATGCAGTTTGGTGGAGAATCGATCTAGAAATCGTTTAAGGTATTCCGCTCAAGGATCGGGTAAATATTGGCTAAGATATAGCTATCGCAAGGGACCATATAGTCCTCCCCAAGCATTTTCCACATTTTGTGGGGGATGGCCCAGAAAATTTTGACAAAAAATCTGAAAAATATTTTGTTTCCAGGTTTTGATGCAGTTTGATGGAGAATCGATCTAGTAATCGTTTAAGGTATTCCGCTCAAGGATCGGATAAATATTGGCTAAGATATAGCTATCGCAAGGGACCATATAGTCCTCCCCAAGCATTTTCCACATTTTGTGGGGGATGGCCCAGAAAATTTTGACAAAAAATCTGAAAAATATTTTGTTCCCAGGTTTTGATGCAGTTTGGTGGAGAATCGATCTAGAAATCGTTTAAGGTATTCCGCTCAAGGATCGGATAAATATTGGCTAAGATATAGCTATCGCAAGGGACCATATAGTCCTCCCCAAGCATTTTCCACATTTTGTGGGGGATGGCCCAGAAAATTTTGACAAAAAATCTGAAAAATATTTTGTTTCCAGGTTTTGATGCAGTTTGATGGAGAATCGATCTAGTAATCGTTTAAGGTATTCCGCTCAAGGATCGGATAAATATTGGCTAAGATATAGCTATCGCAAGGGACCATATAGTCCTCCCCAAGCATTTTCCACATTTTGTGGGGGATGGCCCAGACAATTTTGACAAAAAATCTGAAAAATATTTTGTTTCCAGGTTTTGATGCAGTTTGATGGAGAATCGATCTAGTAATCGTTTAAGGTATTCCGCTCAAGGATCGGATAAATATTAATAAGATATAGCGTTAGCAAGTTGCCATATAGTCCTCCCCAAGCCATAAAGTCCTTCCTATGATATTAATTATTCAATTTTAAAACAAAAACAATTTGAAAATCGTCCATAAAATGATTCGGAGAGTAGGTATGTAAGTGGACACATTCTCACACCGTTTCCCAGGAAAGAAATCAAAAGTAAAAAAAAATAAAAGTGATAGCCGAAACGAAAAAAATCGTACATACTCATGGAGATCCCCGGGATTCCAGACCCATTCCCAGTCCCCGTCCCAGTCGCAGCATCAAATCACAGCAAACATAACGCACAAAGGAATGAAACCGAAGGATCCAACAAGACAAGTGGAATGCAAACAGGCGAGACGGACGGAGGAGAACAACCACAAAGCAAACAAGCAAAGATAAAGGATCTGAAGGATGTGTGGGAAACACACAGATCTCGGAGGAGCGAAACAAGTGCAACGGTATTTGGAAATGCAAAAGGATAATAGCGTAAAGAGGAAATGAAAATTATGATAATTTTCGATCTCGCCACGGAGGTGTTGTTGTTTTTCTCACAGAAGGATCAAGTAACAGCAGTGCCGATATGATTGAGTGTGGGAAGTGCAAAGGATCCCGAGAGTGGCAGGACCTGCGGAGAACCCTCGAAAGGCGGGGGCGACGCTCGACAGCCACACGCAAGGAACAGGCTGTTGCGGAAGTTATTACGGAAGTGAAATCAAAATTTTGATTTTCATGAATATAAAAATTTGGAAAAGGGGAGAAAGGTAAATCAGAAACCTGAGAGAGTGTGGGGAAAATGGAGGAAATTGAAAATAGGAAATGAGGATGAAAATCAATTTGTTTCTGCCAAACACTTTCTTGGTTAATTTTTAAGGACTTTAACCGGAAGTGTAGTAATAAATTGTAGTTGATAATCTAATTATTAATTAGTTTTTATTGAAAACATAAATCAAAAGCTTCCTGGCGCTACCTCCACACTATCCTGCGTGTATCCAAACAATCTCTTCAGCATGTTGTAGATTATCATTTGTCGCGTCACTTCCGCCTCGTACTTCATATAGTCCTTGAGACGATTCTGCTGGTAGAGCTGATCCAGTAGTTCGAATAGTTCCATTTCGAGGCCTCGCAGTGGCGCCTCCATCTCAGGGGTGTGGGTTCCTGCGAAAACGGCTTGCATATAAATGGCGGATATCTTTTCCATGGCGGCGTCTAAATTATTTAAAATGGCGTCGTCAGGATCGTGTAGCAGCTTCACAGGACCAGTGAGCTTTGGCGAGGCACGGTATTTCAGTATGGTATCCTCGTAGTCACTTGCCAGACTGATGATTGGCAATATAGAAAGGATCAGTAAGATGGGGAGTGACTTTGGCATTTTTGAATATATTTTATTTATTGCTTTTTGAGTTTTTTTTTTTTAAATGCACGCCTGAAAATCACTGCGTGCTCTCGATTGCAACGATTTTTTTCTAATGTTTCCACATTAAGTGCCCTCCTCGAGCTTAAATAGGCTTTTGATTAGCTAATCAGTTGTTTTGATCAAAAAACATAGATTACAAGGCTAGTTCCGCAACTTGCATTATCTGTTTCCGTTTATAGTTCAAGTTTTTAAAAAAGTCAAGTTTAAAAATTCTTTTTTCATCTTTATCATTTATTATTTTCACTCTTTTTTTTTTTACTTAGTTTATATAATTACAATCTTTATAATAAAACACTAAAAGAGAAACGTGAAAACGTAATGCCATACATACAAGATAATCTACATAACTTATTTTTAATAAAAAGTATTTGCAATGATTAAATATTTAAGAAACGATAGAACATCAAAGAACATACATAATTGATTAATGAACTACATAATAGGTATTTAAAAATGCTTAAATAAGAATTACACAAAAAAATATACAAAATCACAGCTGAACTTAAAAATGAAGAAATCGAAACATTGATACAAAAACATAGAATAAGTTGAAACTTAATGGGGTTCTAAAGCATTCGAGTTCGTGGTCTTTGAAAATAAATTGCAATTAAATAATTTAACAAAGTTTTCTTTTTTTTTTGGGAATCGATAATAAACTTAACATAGGTTGTTTGAGTTTCATTGATGATCGATCTACCAGGGCCTCCAGGCGGAGCTTGACTTTTCGATGGCGGCGGCCAGGAACTTCTTCGACGAGGGTTGTTCGTCCAAGGAGCAGTCGCTGGAATCGGCATCAGCTCCTGGTGCGGCCTCCCGCTCCCGCTTCACCGATCCGCTGGTGGAGGACACTTGCTGCTGCTGCAAGTGGACCAGCGATCGGGAGCAACCGCTGCTGTCGTGGCTTCCGGCGCTCAGGTTGAGGGACCCGCTCGTGTTGAACGAGGTCTCGGCGCTGGTCGGCGGCGGTGTGGAGAAGACTCCGGCGAAACTGTGCTTGGCCAGCACATCTACGCCGGGCGAGGCGGTTCGGGACTCCTCCCCGTGGCTGGAAATCGAGGAGATGGGGCTCAGGGGTGGACTGCTGGTGCTATTCTTCACGGCCAGTTGTGTCTGGGCCGGGATTTGGTTGTGCAAGGAGTGTTCTGTCTGACTGGTGGGAGCTGGCTTGCTGAAGGCGCTCATCCGGAAGCTCTGGGCGTAGTCATTGAGGTGTGTAGGGTTTGCAATGCTGGCCAAAGCGGCGCTAGCGGTTCCGGCTGGAGCTGCCCCGACTGCTGATCCCGGCCAGGCGAAGGGTCCTGGTGGTGGTGCAGTGGATCCTGCCGTGTTCGGCATAATCAGGGCAAACTCGCCCGATGGCAAACGAGAGGGGATGAGCTGGAGTCCACCCATTTGGATCGCTGGAGCGGTGGTCTCTGTGCGGCTGTTGTTGTTCAAGTCCTGAGGCAGCGACGGGAACAGAGGAGCCGGAGCAGCTGCCGGGGCCGAAGGGGGGAAGATTCCGGCACGATAGCCATTGTTGAAGTTGCTCATGGAACCGATCTGCTCCAGACTGTTGGCGCAGTTGTTCAAATGGGCGGTGAGACGCTGGCGCACTCCCGAATCGATGCCGTCCAGCTGGCTGACATAACGATTCACCTCCTCGGCGCACTCCACGAAGCCGGTCTTGAACTTCTGGACGACACCGGGATCGGTCTGGATGGCCATGTTCAGTTGCTGGCGCTGTACGGATTGCAGATGCTTCACCGTCATCTCAAGTATGTCGGCCTTCTCCAGTTTGACGTGGCGAGCCGGCTAAAACGAAAAGAAGAGAAAAATCCATGGTCAGATAATGATGAAATAAGGAGAAGATGGTTGAGATGGTCTGGTCTGGACTGGCTTGGTCTGGCTAATTGTTTTCGGCCCTATAACAAGTTCAATGGCTGGGAAAATGGCAAGTCAAGGAGCACGATTCGTGCCTCATATGTCCAACTATTCGCGTGTAATCTGCAGTCCACTTCAGTGGAGTCCACTCCGCAAATATCACACGACCGAGGTGAGATTCAGCAACAACGTCGAGAAAAGATAGCTCGATCTTGGTTCTCAATACAGGGAGAGAAATATAATTGAATCTTTGAGAAAAAAAGGGTTTACCAAAGAAGATGAAGGGGAAACTTTTCCCCAAACTTTTCTCAGTGTAAGATTCTCGGTTCCTTCATGCATCTCTTTCTCACCTTCTGGGACTGCATATTTTAGCAAAAGGTTCCCACGCAGGTCGCTCGCCATTCTCCACCCCCAGACTCCCCTCTAGCTCGTCAGCTCGTCCCCTCCCCCGCTCCTCTGTCTGACGAAAAAAAAACCTTTTGTTTACTTTTGCTTTTTTTTCCCCTCAATGTCTTTCTTATTTGATTTTTTGGTCTTCTCATCCTCAGTGCCCTGCAGAATTCTGCGGCGGCAAATTTTACTTGATTTCTGCTTTGTAGTTTTCTCACAGCAGGATCTCCTCCTGGTGCCTCCTTGGAAACTGGTTTCGTTCGCATCTCCGACTCCGGAGTATTTCTGCGTAATTCCTCGACTTGTTAACACTTTTTGGTCTCTTGACTGACTCCTAGTCGGCGCTCTCGTGTAATGATCATCAATAAAATTTAATACTCAATTAGACCCCCGAAGACTGTCCGCTTGTCCGTCTGTCCGTTTGTCGTAGGAGTTGGTTTTTTTTTTTTTATATGTTTTATCCTTTTGTACTTTTGCCGCCTTGAAACACTTGTGGTCTCAAGGGTTTCTCTTCTTTTTTATGACCTGACATAATTTATTGGGAAAGTGAACTGATTTCGATCGTGGGCCTAGTTTCTAAATCGCGTGAGGACTCTCATATACAAGGATACTTACGTCTTTTTTCATTGCCTCCAGTATCAGGGACTTGAGTTCGTTGAGACAGTGATTAATGCGAGCCCGGCGACGTTTCTCCATAATCGGTTTGTTGGTCTACAAATAAAGGGCGAAATAACAATTAATAAATTAGGGGAATTTACAGGAAAATTTATTACAAATTTAAACAGTCAAAATAAATTATTGTTTGACTATTTAAAGTTATCTAGTCTTAGGATCTGCTTGTAACCCTTGAACCCACACTCACCTTTCTCAGTTCAGCCTTGGACAACCCATTGGGATTGGCCAGACGACCGTTGCTTCCATAGCTATCGCTATATCCGTTGGAGCAGTCGAAATCATCGTCGGAATTAAGATCGTTTTTGTAATCCATTTTGTAACGATTTTAATTTATTTATCCAGTTAGTTGTGGTAGTAATCCAAAAGTGATAGCTGATTCAGCTTGGTTTTCGTTTATATTTCACAACACAAATACTTTGGTTTCAGTTCGAATTTAATATTTTTTTTAACAAATATTGCACGTACTCTTCTGCAAAGTTCGAATAACAAAAACTTAACAACGGTACGCGTTTCAGTTCGTTTTCAGATACATGCGAAGTCGAGCGGTGGACGACCGCGCTCACGAGATGCCAAAAGGATACTGATCCTCGGAGGGTCACGTCGGTGAATAAAAACGAATCGAGGCGAAGGCGACGGTGACGACGTCGTCGGCGTTGCCGAAACGAGTCCCGAGTGGAAACACGAAGGTGCTCATTTACCTGGCCGACGCTGGCAGCGACGGCGGCAGAGTGCAGGTAGGCAACGCAACGATCGTCTGCAGACTAAGAACTCTGCAGCTCGACGGCAGCAGAGGCATTTGCACTCGAAACCCAAAAGACCGAGTGGGATTGATTGAGTGTCATATTCTAGGGGGTTGGTTGAGAGAGTGAGTTTTTCCCCCCTCCGGGTCAGGCAGAGTAGTCGAGTCAACAAATTACGGCACTCACTGCCATGGGATTAGTCCAAAGCCGAGCTCAACTAAATAAACGAACTTAAGCCCGGACTTTGATCCAGAAACCACACAATATTGCTATAAAGCCAGTGTCATTAAAAGTCGGGTTTCTACTAAAGTCGAACTTCTATAACAAGGGTTCTGGAAAATATAGATGGGTCGGGGTTTAGGAATAAGATATTCAGGAATAAGAGGATTTCCTAAGAAATAACTTTAACTAAATTCATAGTTTGTTATTTTGTATAAGTCATTAGTTAGTAAGTAATGTTTAACACCCCAAAAATTCTTGAAGTTTCTATAAATTTTATGCAAGATATTGGCTCTTAGATAAAGAATCTTATAAAAAAAGGAACTTAAATTGATTCCTAACTCTGATATTTCTAACAAGTTTTAATATATAGTTTTCATATATCCTTAACAAATTTTAAAAATATATAAAATGAGAAAAGCCAGACCTATGAACAATCTCTAATTACAATGACTTTGATAAAATAATTTCCTATAAGTCGAAATATTTCGCGACAGCTGTGTTGGGATTCGATCCTCTAAAAGAAGTCCGACTGTATTTTGGATGTCTTAGCTCGCTCACCCTTGGCTGGAAGAGGGCAAACTTGATCAATGCCCGTCCAATGATTTGCAATTCATTAAGGAGATATCCTTGGCAATTGTTACTCGCAGCTGCCGTCAACCCCCGTGGCAGCCCAACCCCCTTTTTGCCGGGCGAAGGATAGATTTAGTTTCTGCCTGGTACGGTACAGCGTCTTAAAGGGGGTTGCTTTCTAACTAGACGAGATCCGAGATCTGAGATCCTCGGGGTCAATCATTACGGAGCTTACCTGGGCTGGGCCAGAATTTTATAGACGATCCCCGGCCAGATTTTCCATCTTCAGGCAAATTTATTACTTTACGATGTTGGCAGGATTAGGGCGAAAGGAGTTGTCAATAACCACTGTCGCGGGCCATGCGCCAGCTGACAGCTGCCAACCCTGACTACCTACTATATCCTACGACATATATCCCAAAATTGCGATTTTTTGGGGAGTCAGATTTGGGATCAGATCGGTTGGGATTGTAAAAGTATTGCGCCGCCTGGCAACTCTGGTTGTGCAAAGCAATCTCAGCTGGCATTAAGCCCGGAGTGTAAATCCCGTGTTGAGCAATAATCCGCCATGATCATCCATCATATGCCATCTCTGCACCACCGATCGTGACAGCTTTAAATTGAATAAATGCTACTGCTGTAGCTACTGATGCGGTTTAGGTTGACAAACTAAACCATGGGGTTCGGTCAAATTCTGGACTGATGAGCTGAATAATAACCAGCACTTTGGCTCCTTTAAATGCCTCCATTTGGACGCAAATTTGGCAAACATTTTCCCACGAAAAGCCAAATAAACCCGATGATGAGCTGGCAGAATGAAAAAAATGATCCAACCATCAGACATATGTGGATCAATCGTCTGGCAGAAGAGACGTGCCGGAGAAGAGACAGACTCGGTTCTGAAGAAACCAGAATTGAAATTCTATAACGAAGAAACAAGGCAGAAATCAAAGTTCAATATCAGCCCCAAACACAGTTGTCGGTTTGGCTTCTCTTCTGATTTTTTCCTTCAGTCTTCAGTGTTTTTTTTTTTATTCCCGGCAAGGGATCAAGGTAAACGCCATTTAGTGTGGCACGATCGCTGCTGATCGGTAGCCCGGCTTGTATCTGTATCTTTGGTCTCTTTTTGGGGCTTCCCGGGCACTACACACCAACGGATACCCGATGCGTTCCCAACGCACGATTTACACATTAAAACACTTTAATTTTTATTGTACAGCCGGTCGGTTTGGGAGCTTCGATCTGTCGACCAGTGACGATCTACTTCCCTCTTTTTTCCATTTTTTTAATCAATTCTGAAGGAACAGGAGACCTTTCTCAACCTCAAATTAGTGACTTCAGGAGTTTGTATTTTTAGCTGTGGGAACTGCAGTTATTACTTGGGGTGTGCTGGCAACAACGCCCCCGCACCCTACACTCCACCCCAGACTCCATACGCCACTCCAGCGTGCCTCAAAAATAATGAGCATGAAAAATATGAAACGGTGGCAAATGTGTGAACTGATCCAAACGGAACTAAGCCCCGGGAAGGAACTCCTGTTCGGCCAAGATATATGTTGATTTAAATGAATTCCTTGTTGATTTTTATGGCGCTTAGTCGCGAGGGGGAGACTCCTGTCCTGTCCTAAGTGAAGTGTGCGGTCTGTGGGGCATTAGAAGTCATATATGGCCGCCCCGGTATTTGATTGTTTTTTTCCCGTCTGTGGGAGATTTTATTTTTATGAATTTGATAAATGGCCAGCCGGGAGTTGGGCTAATAACTGGAAAGTTCTTTCTGACAGGAATCCAAAAAGGGGAAACTTATAATCCAGCACACTTTTCCGCCCAAAAAAGTCACTAAAATAAGGGAGATTAATAGAGAGATTTTGGGGAGAAGAATTTAACACTTTTTGTGACTATAAATGGTTTATATTTCAGTTCTTCTGCTAATAAATGTGAGCAAGTTTTACGAATGTACAGAAAATCTAGATGATTTATTTTTGTAACTGAGAATAATACTGTAATCTAAATGAGTAACATCTTATCACTTACAAACAAAGGTAAGATAGTTATGATGATTAATATTAGTCACTTTTATCTAAAGATCTTAAGATATATAATATATCCCCCTCCCTTATAGCTAATCCCATTTATTGGTGACCTATACCATAAGATGTAACGGTCAGTTAGAAGATCAGCTGCTCCTTAGCCAAACATTTTGCACTAAAATGTCCTTCGTCTCGTGCCAAAGATTGCCACATCTGCCGATCCACAACACCCCCAACTCCTCGGCTCAGCCATCTCCCTTCTGCATCCCCCGGAATGCATCTTTTCGGGGCCATGACAACAATGGATTACGGCCCGGACAATGGACGGCGCTAAGAAAAACTGACTTTCCAGGGGACGTGCAGGGTTTTTCTCCTTTTCGCTCCTAGCAGGCCCTAATTGCTGGCAAACATCTTACATAATCGAGAAAGATGCGACTTGCAATGGATTGCTGATGGAGCGTGCCTGATCCGAGCCAGCTGCTGGAGATCACAAAAGTCCAAAGACGACGTAGAAGGGTTGCGGGAAGATTAAGTGAGATTTGTTTATTGTAAAGATTTGCGGTTGCAGTTATGGTGTAAGTTTCATAGAGAATCTATGGCTTAAAATTCTAGATTCTGGGGTGGACATAAAGTAGGTTCCGAAATATTATAGAACTATTAAAAAATATAAAATATGTTTAAATGAATAAGGGTAGACAACTGTATTTAATATTTAAACTAAATGTAAATCTAAAGTTTCCTCTTTAAGATAGATATCATAAAAACTAATAGCCACTCAATTTGATTGGGAAATTGGAAGCTCATATTCCCCTAGACGTCACTTTTCATTTCATTCCCCTGACGACAGGAACCGTAAATCTAACGCTAAGTACAGTCAGACCACAGGGGGATATATCGAGCAACTGCGAGTCATATCAATTCATAAATGCATAATAATTCCGACAGAGCTAAAATTAAAACAGAACTCGGTCGAGTCGATGCGGAATAATGTGAGAAAAAAACTTTCTCACGATCACCTTGATGTCGCGCAGACGTCGTTTAATGGAAATCCACGTGCAAAAGGGGGAAGTTCGGATATAAGGAAGGAAGGAAGCACGAGGAACCCACCACCACTAGAGCACCACCACCACTACCACCACCACATCGCCTCCGACAAAAAGGAAGCAGGCGGAGTAGGACGCAGGACCTTCGTGATGATTATGGTGGTGGTCGGTCGGCGTACTAGTGGTGGCTGCCCCTCCCTCCACCTCCATTGATCGCCAGAAGTGCATGAGAATTTAAATTACAAACAAACAGAGAACTCACAATCAACGGGCTTTGTGCGTGTGTGCATCGGCATGTGAGGGAGAAGCCAGGAGGAGGAGGAGGAGGAGGACGAGGTGCTCTTGCTGGAGGCGGGGTAGAGGAGTCAGGAGGAAGGGGGGGGTGCCAGGACGAGGCGTGTGTGGGAACTTTTGACGAGGACACTCGAGCATGAAGCGGGTCATCCCACTGAAGGCAATAATCATGCAGACCCATTACGTCCCACAGAGAGTTAGTTAGTTTCTGGTTCTCATCTCTGGCATCCCGAAAGAGATACTAATTCTTTCTCAGAGAAAGATACAGATTCATCAGCTTCACAATACCAACAACTACGAGAGCATTGCGGTTTCTCCCAGAGAACAAAGCTCTTCTGTCTCTCTATCTTTATACCGTGCTCATGCGCAACATTGCAAAAATACGAAACGTATCTGAAAGATACACAAGGAAGTAGCTGTAAGGGAATATCAGAGGGGTAAGAAATGGGATTTATTTATTAAAATTGCTATGTTATCTTATTGAAATAATTACTGGTAATAAAATATCTTAAAATATAAAGATAAAAACTAATATTTTTAATATTAATATAATAATAATGCATAGTATAGCATACTAATTAAGCTTGACCTCTATTTATGTTAAAATTCTATGAAAATTATATTGTTATTCAAGTATTTAAAGGACAAAGGACCCCTTTTGGGCCCCACCCTTGCCTGCCACAAAAGTCAAAGTCATCGAATCAAATAATCGCATTTGCCGCTGCATTCAAATGAAATCCAATACCAACCCACTCGAGAACACTCATTCAGACCCAGCAGAAGAATATAAAGAAGCACATGTGGAATGAATGCGTTTCTTTGGCTATTTATAAAAATTCCAAATGATAAGAACTTGAAAACAGCCCGGCAGTGCATTCCTGTATCTGTATCTGTATCTGTGTATTACTCATGCGCCTGGTCGGCTGGCGTCGTTTGGTATTTTTGTGACTCTTTTCGGTATTTTCGAGAGAGTTGCGACGCGGTAAGCGGGCGTTGTTGTTGCCACAGACGAAGTATTTTTTTCAAACTGTTCGGACGGTCATACTGACACAGAAAATGCAAAAAAAGTAAGAGCGAAAAGAGCTGGCGTAGGCGTGACAAACGGTGAAAAAAAAAGCGTAGTGCAGCACGAACAGTGCAATTGACCCCAAAGGAGCTTACGGTGCAGTCCCCCTCGAGCAGACCCAACCCCGAGTCCACACAGAACCGAAAACTTGAGCCTGGCGCTTGGCGGCCATTCAAATGAATAGTCCTCGCACAAATGCGGTCAATGGCGGCAGCGGCGGCGTCGGCAGCGGCGGTGGTGCTATCTCCGCCCTTCCGAGCACTCTCGCCCAACTGGCTCTGCGCGACAAGCAGCAGGCGGCGGCATCGAGTGCATCCCCCGCCACCAGCAACGGCGGCAGCGAGTCCTCATCCGTGGGCGGCAGGCCAGCAACTCAGCCACCTAGTGTGCCATCATCATTGACGGGTGCCAGTAAGCTGGAGAACAGCGCCTCCAACGGCGACTCAAACAAGCTCACCCACGACCTCCAGGAAAAGGAGCACCAGCTGGTGCAGAAGCCACAGAAGCCGCCGCTCCCGGTGCGCCAGAAGCCCATGGAGATCGCTGGCTACGTGGGATTCGCCAACCTGCCCAATCAGGTCTATCGCAAGGCGGTGAAGCGGGGCTTTGAGTTCACCCTGATGGTGGTGGGTGCCAGCGGATTAGGCAAATCCACGCTCATCAACTCGATGTTTCTGTCCGACATTTACAACGCAGAGCAGTATCCTGGCCCGTCGTTGCGCAAGAAGAAGACCGTTGCCGTGGAGGCCACTAAGGTCGTACTCAAGGAAAATGGAGTTAACCTTACCCTTACCGTAGTGGACACCCCAGGATTTGGAGACGCCGTGGATAACAGCAACTGCTGGGTGCCCATATTGGAGTATGTGGACAGCAAGTACGAGGAGTACCTGACGGCAGAGTCCCGGGTTTATCGTAAGACCATCTCGGACAGTCGGGTGCATTGCTGCCTGTACTTCATCGCTCCATCTGGACACGGACTACTCCCCTTGGATATTGCCTGCATGCAGAGCCTGTCGGATAAGGTGAATTTGGTGCCAGTGATCGCCAAGGCGGACACAATGACTCCGGACGAAGTGCATCTGTTCAAGAAGCAGATCCTCAACGAGATTGCCCAGCACAAGATTAAGATTTACGACTTCCCCGCCACGCTGGAGGATGCGGCCGAGGAGGCGAAGACGACGCAGAACCTGCGTAGCCGGGTGCCATTTGCGGTGGTGGGTGCCAACACCATCATCGAGCAGGACGGAAAGAAGGTGCGCGGCCGGCGCTACCCCTGGGGCCTGGTGGAGGTGGAAAACCTGACGCACTGCGACTTTATTGCGCTGCGAAACATGGTGATTCGCACACACCTGCAGGATCTCAAGGACGTGACGAACAACGTCCACTACGAGAACTACCGCTGCCGTAAGCTCTCCGAGCTGGGCCTGGTGGACGGCAAGGCCAGACTGTCGAACAAGAATCCGCTCACCCAGATGGAGGAGGAGAAGCGGGAGCACGAACAGAAGATGAAGAAGATGGAGGCCGAGATGGAGCAGGTCTTCGACATGAAGGTGAAGGAGAAGATGCAGAAGCTCCGGGACTCTGAGCTGGAGCTGGCCCGCCGGCACGAGGAGCGCAAGAAGGCGCTGGAAATACAGATCCGGGAACTGGATGAGAAGCGGCGCGAGTTCGAGCGGGAGAAGAAGGAGTGGGAGGATGTGAACCATGTGACGCTCGAGGAGCTCAAGCGACGAAGCCTGGGCGCCAACAGCAGCTCCGACAACGTTGATGGCAAGAAGGAAAAGAAAAAGAAGGGTCTGTTCTAAGTCAACACGCTCAAAATCCACAACCCCCCCTAATAACATCCCATCTCCCCCCCCATGATATTCTTAAGCGCTAATCTCGAGAACAAAACAAGCATAAAAAAAGAAAATCCCTAGCGTATCCCGTAATTATACATATACCTACATATAAAAGTAATACGAGTAAAAGTGCATAAATATATCTATTGTTGGGCCTAACTGGCCTCAGCCTATCCGGCGCCCACAAGGCTTCTCTATTCGCACAGCAATCGCACTCGGCCGGCGTTGCATTTGTTTTTTTACATTACTATACAAATATAATTCATAGCAGCAGTTGCAGTATTTTACCAATATAATACGAGTATATATAGATTCAGGCATTACTTGACGGACACATTACTTGCTAGCCTAATGAATTGAGTATGGATATCAATGCCATCGAATTAAATCGAACCAGACCCAAAACGGTATTTACAAAATACTTAAATATCTTAAAGCTTAAATCTACACAAGCGAAAAAGCAACACCTAAGCGAAAAGTACGAAAATCGATCCTAAAAATTAATTATAAAGAATGAAAGAAAAAAAACCAACAAAAATAATGAAACCATGTATAACGTATGCTATTGATATTGTAATTGTATTTTACCTATTATGCATAAAAAAAAAGTAATAAGTCATAAAACACCCAAACACTCGGCAGTATCAGAATCAGAAGCAGCAACACCAGCAGAAAACCAACAAAACAAAACAAAAATATACTCTTGCATTTTACAAAATAAAGTCTTCTCTTTAGTTTAACTACATAAAACAATGGAAAGTACTCCATATTGTATTGTTTAATCAACTGCAGTCGGAGAACAGATCGGGGTCTACAGATCGGGAAAAGGAACAGGGTGTTCCGAATCATTGGAACACGTCTGGTAAATACGGAATGTGTGTGAATGGCATCAATGAAGTCAGACAATCTCCTCCAAAGTCTGACTAATTTTTTTGTTACACATAATTTCAATCAGCTTTTAAGACGGGAGGAGAATGGATGACTCAGTTGAAGAAATATGAGGTTTTTGAACGCGAGACTCGGAACTACAGCAAATAGTTAAATCACTCACCGCAAACAATTAAAAGAGTTTATGAATATATATTTTCTTATACAGTGAGCATAATTTAAATGGGATTTTGTGAGATTCCGACTTTCAAACTTGCCCATCTTTGGTTCCTGCCACACCCTATATATGTCGTACATGTTTATGTCTATATAGTCACGGTCAAAATAATAGCTAAAAATATTTATTAGGGTTTTTAAAAAATGTTATATATTCCCCAAAACTCTGACCTGAATCACTTATTTTTTTGTTTAAAAACAATCAAGATAAGAAAAGATAAGATTAAATATAATATGTATTATATTTATCATCATTTTTTAAAGATATACAATGATGGAAGCCAAACTAAATATGCTTAACGTATCTGATAGATACGAAAGTATCTCATCTGTTTCAATTAAGCATCTTATAGCTAATATCTTGACCGTAGCTGTTTGTGTGGGGAATTCTGCATTTTCGCTGGGCTCCGGCACTTGAAATGGCTTTCTAAATGCCCCAGACACACCAGCATGGATATTTAATTTATGCACACAAAAATTAATCCATAACCCAATTGGAAGGCACTCAATTAGAGCCATAAAAAGCGTAAAATGAAAATCCATTGGTGAAAGACATCGGCTGGCGATACATGGAGCGAGAGTGGACGAGTGGGTGGAAGGGGATGGGTGGGCTGGAGATCAAGATACCATTGCCGTTGTATGTGCCAGCCATATCCATATGGGTACGCAATCGTATGTATATGTACATAAGTGTATGTAAGTCAACAACGTTGACGCAGCACTTAACTCAACTCGAAGCAATTGGCTTTGGCGATCAATGAACGCAACACCAAAGAAGAAGAGTATCAGGAGAGTGGAGTACACTGAAAGAAATTATCTAAAAAGATTACATATTTCATTTAAATATAGTTTCTTTGATAATATTCAATAAAATAATTAAAAAGTAATAAAATAATTTCTTAAAATCTTATCAAATATTAAACTTTTTACAGTGTGAAGTTTGTTGCGTCGTTTTTAGGACGATGACTCAAGTATACATCACAGGGAAGGTGGTGGGTATAAGGGGGAACAGGGTATGTTTGAGTTTGTGGAGCTTATCGGTCTGGAATGAGAGCACAACAGCTCCGCTTGTTTCCCTCAGTGGGTGAGCCTCAATGTGGTGTCCATGTGGTGAGCTCTTGTGTATGCCAGTGTGTGTTCCAGAGTCATATGGACAAGACACCCTGTAACCGAGTTCGATACGCTTGTGGACAGCATTCCAGCACGTCAAACGCAAAACCAAGCCATCAACAAACGCTTAAGATCAAAAACAAATGTTGACCGTTTCTAACGAGCCGGCCCATGGAAGATAGCCAGACGGAGAGAAATGGCGGTGGTTCTCCAACCCACACACCCACATGTCTGGCACACTTACGTGAGCATACGTGACCGGGAGAGAGCCAGGGTGATACTGAGAGGAAGAATGTTGCGCATGCGCAGGGTTTTGATATTAAAAGAGGGCCCTAAAAGCGAGTTATATAGATATGATAAATAAATAAAGATTTAGGATTTAAGATTCGTTTTAAAACTAAACATTTTATTGCAACAAAATATTTAAAAATCTTATTTAAAATTTTAAACTGATTACTGGATATCTCCTAGTCGAGATATGCATCTCTGTATAATATCGTTAAATGATTTTTATTTGAAATTTCCGTTCCTCAGTTTTAAACTCAGTTACTGGTAACTCGACTCGACTTTTGACATGGCAATGGGGGGAAGTGATTTTATAGGATGGCCGGTTTATTGGTTTGTTTGTTTGCTTTTGAATGCCCTCTGTCCCTAGCCCTTTCCCATTCCCGGTTCCAATCATATTTATATTCCGATTCCCCAATAGTTGCCCCACATCGTCTCAATGTCACAATGATAAGGGCGCGCTTCCTCAGATTATATGCATTTGCTTTATGGAATTGTTCTCATATTTTCTTGTTTACAATGCAAAGAAATTGAGATCGTGTAGGCTCTATCAGTTCCAGTCCAACACTTGTGGGAACGCATTTTTATCGGCTTGATAAGCCCGCAGGGTTCATAAATTATTTAACATACATAGTTCCGCAAATAAACACTTGTTAAAAGTGACACATATTTGTTTGGGATGCAAGGTTGTTATGTTATTGGAACCTGATTTTTAAGAGGTCTTTATAAGAGGAATTGTGCAATTTTTCAAAGTGTGTGGTCCTATATCCTATATCCTTTGGTCGCGGAAGTGATTCCCACAGAACTTCCGTTTTGTCTTTCTTCGACCCCTTAGCGGTAAATTAAATTCTTCATCTCCATAGTCCTTCCTCACCCACACTCTACCATATATGTCTTTATTTCTTTTCTGCGATCGTCCTTTGCCTCATTTTGATTTCCGCTACGCTTGCGCTTGGAGCGTGCACAACATCCGTTCTCTATTTCTCTCTACTTTCTTTCAAATCTTTCTCTTCCCTTTTGTTGTTCATTTTACAGTTGGAGTTCGTTTATTGTCCTACATCCTGGGAATCCTGGTAGCTATTAACAGGTGATACCGCTATCTGCCAAATCATTTGCAAAGGTGTGAAAAAATGTTCCGCTTTCCAAAAGTTTTAAGGGTGGATTTTGGAGTCCATGGGAAGAATTGCTTAGAATCTGGATTTTTAATTGAGTTGTTTTGGGATTTAGGAGACTGAATAAATATTATTTTTAACAAAAACTCCTAATAACAGTTGTTTCAATATAATAAATATTAATATCCTTTTGTTTTGATAAAAATATCAAAAGTTTGAAGGCCAGTTATTAAATCTGTGTCCTGTTTTTATCCCACAATCTGTCAGGATACTTGACACATGTTCTCAATAACACAAACCGCATAATTAGAGCTTTTTAAATATTTTCCACAAAAGAAAAAAGGGTAATTTTGGATATAATTTAATGTAATTGGGGACAGTTGGCAAAATACAGATTTGTGGTTTTTCAAAAAACCTGACCCTGGGAACAGATTTCATTGGGCATTGACAGTTGCCCCAAGTCGGTTATGCAAACTCAATTTGGGTCAAAGTTGTTAAGGGGTCGAAGGGGAGGAGGTGGGCGTGGGGCAGGAACGAAGAGCAATGCCCCATGTTTGCATCAAGTGACCTGAATGTAGGTTAGGTGGATGCTGAGGCAGATGCAGAGATATGGCTGATGTCAGTCAAGGGTGGTGACCAGAGGGGAAATGCTTTAAAATATATTTCTTTTTAAGATTTTTGTTTGGACTTTATAAATTTTTCATCTTCAATCTTTTGAAATTCAAGGGATATAATTTTTATGTAAACCCCCTTTATGGGAACGTCTTTGTCCTGGGAGGGCATGCCAGTCTTTTGTGTTGCATCTTGGCTTGTGCCTCCTCTTTTTTTCCCCCATTGAATGCCTCTGCATGCCGAGTGCTGCTCATCCTCTATGCATGTCGGATGCTTTGACGAAATCCCCTGTTTGGAATACCCCCTTCTTGCTAACCCCCATCCCCAGCCCCCATTCATGGCGAGCCTCTGATCATAATTGATGTTCAAATAGCTGGTAAATGATGCAAGTGGTGCTGAGGAAGAAGCACTTGCCACAGATTTGTGTGGTGCTGGTCCCGATTGCGACACGTTGTGTCTGCGGCATTGTTGTTATGTTTTTTTTATTGTCATTCGGCCAGATGATGGTTTTGTGTAGCCACATCGAATTGATTTAATTAAATTGAATTAGACAGTCGGAAGCAAACATAAATTTGTATGTTGAATTGAAGAAGAAATCCAAATGGAGGAAAAGGCACAAAGGAGTGAGCTGTGTTATAGAATTTTTATAAAAAGAAAACACGTGCCAGGAAATCGTCATCTGCCGGCGAGGTGCTGGAAAATACGTTACAACCGGTAATTTCCAAACGAATTTATTGAGCCACGCGCAAAGGAGCAAAGGATCCCTTTGGCTAACAAACAGGACCCCTCTTTTCTTCTGCGCAAAGGAGGGCTCAATGAGCCCTGCAATGAGCTCTCTCTTCCGCAACATATCGGGGGTTGCAGTTGCCGTTGCACATTGAGCCGCTACAAGGACTCATCAGCGTCGTCCTGTTTGGGTAATTGTTTATCAGTGATCCTGAAACGAACGTTACTTTGAGCCCCGGAGCCCGGTGTTCTTTCGGTTCTTCCCTCTTTGCGCCTGGCACGCGCCAAATCTTCCCCCACTCCCTGCCTCTCATAATATGGCCAACAGCTGTTCGTCTTTTTTTACAGAGTCCTGCAGGACATCCTAGGGCCTGACACGCCGAGTAATTGAAATGGTTGACGGGATCTGTTTTTTTAGCTGATCCCAGGGATCCCAGGTCTCAAATCTGTCAGAATCTGTCGCTATGTTTTGGGAAAGATTTTTTTGAGAAAATAACGAAGACTTGGGAATATCATTTTTTTGGGTCAGCTCACAAAGTGTCAAATATTTATTTATTATTAAGTTGACAAGGAATAGGAGAAATGTTTATGGATTCACCAAAAAGTCGTTTCTGAAGTTTAAGAAATAGGTTGGTATTATATGAGGATTTTTGAACAATTTATGATCTTTTAGGATTCAAATTATTTAAGTAACTTTTTTAAAAAGGTAAAATATATATATAAAATCTATTACTAAGAAATTTAATTAATCGGTTTCTATTGGAGACTTATTTATCTTAAATTTTATGAAGAAACTAAAGG